CCTCCCTGGACGTGCCAGGACCACCGCGGCATCTTCCCGAGCAGCCACAGCCCCCCGCGAGTGCCGGGGGCTGCACCTCTGCGGGACCCCCTGGCCGGGCCCTGGGCACCCCGAAAGGTCTGAAAACAGATGTTTTCATTCTAGTCTCTGGCTCGTTAGATGGTTGGGGGTTTTTTTGTTGGGTTTTTTGTGTTGTTATTTTTTTTTCTTTTTCTGGCCGTCTCCAGTTACTTTTAGCCCGACCATTCCTTGTCCCACCCTTCTTCCGTACGGTACTGGCGCCTGGCTGGCTTTGGCACGTCCTCCTCCTCCAGCCTGTGGCTGCTCTGGCCGCCGTGGTTAACCGAGAGGGGCACGGCCAGGGTGGCTCTGGGCGAGGTGACAAAGGACGTGCACACCAGGTATGGCCCACAACGCCCCGGCAGAGGAGAAGGGAGCAGGAGCTGTTTCCTGGTGTGGGCCACCACCAGGTCCTGCTGGGCCACCAGCTGGGCTGCTCTGACGGTGGTACCAGGGTAAAGGGTGCCCCCAGGAACAGCCCTGTGGCACCGCCGTGGGCACTGACAGGGCCCTGTGGTGGCCCCATGCCTGAGCCCCCCTGGGTGAGTCCCCGCTGTCAGTGTGGCCCCGAGCTGGCCCTGGCAAAGGTCCCCCCACCATCCCCGCCCGGGCCACCTCCCATCACCCATCCTGCCCCGCTGTGCTCTGTGCCAGGTGCCAGGAGCTCCCACGGGGGTGACCTTGTCCCCTACCTGCCAGACACGGCTGGAAGGGAAGTCAACCCCTGGCTCTTATCACAGCCAAGTCTGGGAATACGCTCAAGGACAAGGAATAAAAATGTTGCAACCAAACACAAGCCACGCACCACACCCAGGCACCTTTCCCATCTGCCGCATCTTCACAGCCCCTGTAGCACTTCCGTGACCACTTCCCAGCTCGGCTGGCTCCGGTTCCCCTGTGACCATCCCCTGTCTGTGGTTCTCTGTGGAGCTGCCTTTCATCGCCGCCAGCTCCCCCCAAAAAGCAATGAACAATGGGTTGGCAGAGTTTGCTGATGCCACTGGAGCTTCTGGGTGGTTTGGCTACAGCGCTGGCTCTGGTGGCACAGGGAGGAGTGGCAGAGGTGTGGACAAGCTTGCACACAAGAGCGGTCCCTGAGCTGGGAGAACAGCTGAGCTGTGGGGCACAGGGAGAGGCTCCTCACCCTTGCACACCTCACCTGCCTTCTCCAGATCCCTTCTCGCTCACTGGGGAGTCCCAGCAGAGCACTTCTGTCCTGCCTGCTCGCTCCAGGTGCGTCATTCCACACGGGAATCCCGATGGAGCTGTGGAATTCACAGAGGAGGGAAATCTTTTACTGTTCCTGGGGGTGAGTGTTCAGTGTGATACACAGCGGAATTCGTTGCCACAGGGTGTTTGCAGCAGCCCAAGTAGATTTTAAAGGGATTTTAAAAGCCATTAGGCAAATTTGTGGGAGAAAAATTGATTGAGGGCTATTAACCAGAGACGCAGATGCAGCTCCTGGCTCCAGAGGCTCCGTGCTGTGGATTGCCAGGAGCTGCAGCTGATGAAACACAGCTTGGCCCGTGCTCGGCTCCTTGCGCTTTGCCTGCTGGCAGTGGGGTGCAGGGATGCAGGGACACGGGGTCTGAGCTGGGGAGCCACTTCCAGCTTCGTGGGGGGAAGCGTTTGGTCCTGAGGTTCCCGTGGATCTCCCACGTGTTGTCACCCTCATGCAGGACACATCCACGGCTGGAGATTCCCGTGTCCCTGGCCTGGCCCGGCCCAGCAGCTCCTACAGGAGTCCTTCAAGTCCTTTGGGGCACATCAATCCCCCTGGGGCTGCCCTGGATCTCCTTGTTCAAGGCTGGTCACTCTGAGCGCAGCATTCCTGCTGTGGGAACCCTCAGCTTCCTGGGACGGGAGCAGGGGCAGTGGTGTTCCCTCAGCAGTGACCATCTCCTGTGTTACCCATCACCCCCGTCCAGACAGCGTCACCTCCTCATCCTCAGTGTCCCATCCATGGACCTGTTTTTGCTGGAGGATGCACAGCAGCCATACCTGTCCTGCTGTTCCTTTCCAGGCAGGGGTCACACGGCCCTTCCTCCTCTGGCTGTCCCAGCCATCAGATCACCAGAGACAGGAGAAACAGGTTCCATCCTGGTGGCCTCCACACTCTCATGTGTGACCTCCTGCAGCATCTGCCTGCCCCTGGATGCTCCCAGGGTTCCAGCTGGGAATTCTCAGGGGGAGCAGGGGCCGGGAAGTGCAGGGGGCCTGTGCTTGACCTCTGCCCGTGACTGCTGCTGAGGATGTGGGACACAAAGGATGTGGGACCCAGAGGATTTGGGACCCAGAGGATTTGGGACCCAGAGGATGCTCCACACCCACACCCAGAGCCCCAGGCTCTGCCTGCCTGGAGCTGGGCTCTCCACAACCCTGCCAGAGTGTCCAGGTGGGCAACAGCCCCTGGCTTGTTCCAGCCACAGCGTGGCTACTGTGGCTACGTGCCCAGGGCAATAACTGCCCGAGCTGGCACTGCTGAGGCACCTCCAGCCCTGGGGCAGTTTTGTGCCTCTCCCTCATGAAAAGAAGGACATGGAAGGGCTGAGCATATCCAGAGACAGGAATGGAGCTGGGAAAGGTCTGGAGCCCCAGGAGGGGCTGGGGGTGCTCACCCTGGAGAAAAGGAGGCTCGGAGGAGGTGAGACCTTCTCACTCCGAGGAGATCCCTGCCAGGAGGGGGCAGCCAGGTGGGGCTCGGGCTCTGCCCCCAGGGAACAGGAACAGGACAAGGGGAAATGGCCTCAAGCTGTGTCAGGGGAGGTTTAAGTGGAATACTAGGAATATTCCTTCCTGGAAAGGGCTGTCCAGCCCTGGCACAGCTGCCCAGGGAAGAGGTGGGGTCCCCATCCCCGGAGGGGTTTAACAGCCGTGTGAAGGTGGCACCTGGGGACACGGTCAGTGGTGGCCTTGGCTGTGCTGGGGAAGAGTTTGGCCTGATGGGCTCAGGGAGCTTTTCCAACCCAAACGATTCCATGATTCTCATGCCCAGGAGCTGCCTGCATTTCCTCCACCAGCCCCTAGCAGGCCATTTCCATTGGGAATCCCCTGCTGTGGGGCAGCTGCAGAGACCTTTTGTCCCAGACTCTGCCCTTTCCCTCTGCCAGCCCCTCTCAGGCTGTCCCTCTGCTCAGTGTCACCTTCTCCTGCCACAGCTGGGTCAGGAACCTTGGGAGGGTCCGATGCCTCTGGCATCAGGGCTCCAGGAGGAATTGCTGCTGGCAGGGGAGCTCCCCTGGCTGTGCTGCCATCAGCCTGTCCTTCCCCAGCTCCTTCCTGGCTGCCCTGAGCACAGGAGCAGGCCAGAGCTCCTGGCTGAGCACTCTGGGGATCTCAGCAGTCACATTATGGGTCTAAAGGCTCAGGTTTTGGTTTCCATCCAGGACTGTGGTGTGTGGGAGGCCAGGCAGGCAGGATTGCTGCTGGGGGTGAGTTCTGTCCCCAGCGCCCTGGGCAGGTGCAGCTGGGGCTCCTGTCACCCCTGTCCCCAGTGCCCTGGGGCTCTTGTCACCCCTGTCCCCAGTGCCCTGGGGCTCCTGTCACCCCTGTCCCCAATGTCCTGGGGCTCCTGTCACCCCTGTCCCCAATGTCCTGGGGCTCCTGTCACCCCTGTCCCCAGTGCCCTGGGGCTCCTGTCACCCCTGTCCCCAATGTCCTGGGGCTCCTGTCACCCCTGTCCCCAGTGCCCTGGGCACAGCTCCCTCCGGGGCCGGGGCTTGGACCAGGACCTGCAGACCCCAGGGTGCTGCTGAGCCTGGCAGGGCTGGCGGGTGCAGGGGCTCTGAAGCTGCTTCCCAGGGTGGGGGGCTGTGGGTATGGTATGGTATCCCCCATGGATCTGCAGCCAGCCTGGAGCTCCGTGCGTTATTCAGTGCAGGTCCCAGGTATGGATCCCCCGGAACGTGCTCCAAGCGTGAGCTGACAGAAGCGTGGGGCCCCTCTCAGGTCAGTTTGTTTTTATCCCTTTCTGGAAGCTGTGCAGGCCCTGGGGCTCGGGGAAGGGCCCGGCACTGTGCAGTGTCACCGTCACCCCCCGAGGAGCAGGGCAGCCCCAGCACAGCCCCCGTGCTGCTCCCCTGGGGCCGGGGGTACCGGGGCTCAGCAGCTCCTGCCTCCCTTCCCCTCTTGGCGTGGGTCTGTTTTTATCCACGCGGGGTGGACGGGCTGTGGTGATACTGTGTTATTGCACAGCTCGCGCTGTGTCGAGGTTTGGGTGCCAAACCGGCTCCGTGGATCTGGCAAACATCTTCCTGCTGCTCCTGAGAGCCAGCGCGGCCACGCACGACACCAGGGACCTGGTGTGTCACCGCCACCGGTGTGTCACCGCCACCAGTGTGTCACCGCGGGACCCAGTGTGTCACCGCCACCAGTGTGTCACTGTGACCGGTGTGTCACCGTGGGACCCTGTGTGTCACCGCCACCGGTGTGTCACTGCCGCCGGTGTGTCACCACGGGACCCGGTGTGTCACCGCGGGACCCTGTGTGTCACCGCCACCGGTGTGTCGCTGCGACCGGTGTGTCACTGCCACCGGTGTGTCACCGCGGGACCCGGTGTGTCACCGCCACTGGTGTGTCACCGTGGGACCCGGTGTGTCACCGCCACCGGTGTGTCACCGCGGGACCCTGTGTGTCACCACCACCGGTGTGGCCTCAGCCTGCCCTGCAGCTCCTCACCTGCAACAGCACCACTGCACACATCCACACTGCGCAGCTGTGGGCCCCGCAGGTGCCAGCAGGGAACTCAGGTGTGTGGATCAGGGGGTTCGGGTAGTTCAGGTGTGGGGATTAAAGGGGTGCAGGTAACTCAGGTGTGTGCATTGGGGGTGCAGGAAACTCAGGTGTGTGGATTAAAGGGGTGCAGGGAACTCAGGTGTGTGGATTAGGGGGTGCAGGTAACTCAGGTGTGTGCATTAGTGGGGTACAGGTAGTTCAGGTGTGTCCATTAGTGGGGTACAGGTAGTTCAGGTGTGTGCATTAGTGGGGTACAGGTAACTCAGGTGTGTGCATTAGTGGGGTTCAGGTAGTTCAGGTGTGTGGATCAGGGGGTTCAGGTAACTCAGGTGTGTGCATTAGTGGGGTACAGGTAACTCAGGTGTGTGCATTAGTGGGGTTCAGGTAACTCAGGTGTGTGCATTAGTGGGGTTCAGGTAGTTCAGGTGTGTGGATCAGGGGGTTCAGGTAACTCAGGTGTGTGCATTACTGGGGTACAGGTAGTTCAGGTGTGTGATTAAAGGGGTGCAGGCCAGCAGGACCCCCAGGACGCAGGGTCAGAGAGGTCCTGGCAGACTGGAGCAGGCAGGGCAGTGTTCTGGAGCTGTTCCCACTGCAGCCATCGCTGCTGGAAACATCCCCGGGCACGGGGCGAGCCCGAGAGCCGGGAGAGGGGCTGCAGGCTCTGGAGCGGCTCCTTCTGTTCCTCCCGGCCCTGCCCCTGCTCCTGCTGGCCAGGAAACTCCTCTCCAGCTCTTCCCGAAGCGCTTCCAGCAGCGGGGAGGGAGCCAGCTGTGCCAGGAGCTGAGGCTGACCACGGAGCCTTGGATGAGCCCGTGGGCTGGAGCTGGCCAGGGCTGACAGCGGGGTAGCCACAAACCCCTGGGGAGGGCTCGGGACCTGGAGGGGACATCCCCGGGCAGGGGACAGCAGCAGGGGGAGGCACAGGATGGGCAGGGGGTGA